GGTCACTGAGAAGACTGTGGGAGACTGGAGGAGGAAGAGACTGTTGGGAATAAAAATGAACAGGGAATGCTGTAGCAAAAAATGCAAGTACAAGGAATATTAGCAAATACAGTGGATGTGAAGAGCTGAGTTATGGTTGCTGTGGGAACCAGTGCTTTGAATCCTAGATATCTTAAATGTTTAGCTCTAATTAGGCTTTGATGAGGCACTTCTGCACTGATCAAAAGCAGTGGTTGCGCTTCTAGTTCCACTGAGAGCCTTGTGCGGAAAGGCATAATCTGGTGATACAGGGGTCTTTCTGCCCTTTGTTTCCGATGTACTGTGTTGTGTTAGGGTCTCTTCTGTTTCCTTGGGACAGATATCCTCAGCTGTTTGCTGCTGGCATGTTGTCGGGAGTGTTCACCACAGTAATCATGGCTCCAGGAGAGAGAATCAAGTGCCTTTTACAGGTAAGGTGTGGGGTGGTGGTGATGGGAATTTAATTTTAGGGGATCTTGTCTTTCCATACCAGGAACTTCTTTGGTTAGTGTATTTACTCTGTTCTGTTTTTTGACAGGACTGAGACAACTGTCATTTAATGCAACTGTGTCACGAAGAAGCATTATACAAACTCACCATGACAGTATAAGTACATACAGCATTGATTGCTCTATTCATTTTACAGAGCACAAGCCTTATACTATGTGGCATTACATGAGGCATCGATGGATGCCTCAGTCCACTTCAAAGTATGGAAAAGTCCAGTTTTTCAGAATGAAACTTTTTCTTAAAAAAATGCAAAATACTAAATCATAAGACTCTTTCTAGTGTAAAGATTTCTGTTACCTTGACAGGTTCCCAAAATGTAATTGAGGAATGCATTTCAAAATACGTGAAATAGTTTTCTCATGTTTGGGGGACCTTAGCTCTACACCTCCTCCAGGGTTTTTAAAGTATTGTTGGAAAACGTAAACCTGAACAAATGAAAATACCATCTTTAGCAGAGATGGGAACGTTTGCTTATTTCAGACTATGTTGTACTCAGTATGGTGATGGGTGATCACGTTAGTTCTGACAGACGACTTATCATGGAAGCTTTTATACAGACACAAATTGTTTGAATTTCGCTAAACTATTTGAAGGCTACTTTTTGTCAGTGCAAGTGTAGAATTACCTAGCTGACTTCAGTTGTTTCAAACTTACACTGGACAAAAATAAGGGAGAATCTAGCCTCTGCATGGAACAGTAAACATATCCTCAGCTTGAAAGCGAGAGCTTGTCTGAGGAAGTGATGCAGGGGTTTTGTATGCAGGAGTGCCTGTGGAACGAGTATGTGCTCCTTCCTCTCTGGAGACATGCACGTGGCTTTCTAACTATTAGCTGAATGATTGTTCACCAGCCAGAAACCTTCACTAGTCAGAAACTATCACTTTAATCCTTCAGATCCAGGCAGCTACAGGTGAAACTAAATACAGTGGCTCTTTGGACTGTGCAAAACAGCTGTACCGTGAGGCTGGGATTCGTGGCGTGTACAAGGGGACAGTGCTTACCCTCATGAGAGGTAACTGATGCTTCTTCTGCATGGGGTACTTTAAGATAAGAAGCCTGACATAGTATCACAGATCTCGCTGTCCCTTTAGCCAATTGGAGATGCTGTGTCACCCTTTTTTCTTTTTTTGCAGTCTGCAGAGCTACTCCAATGCCTCAAAGGGACTGAGAAATAAACATGAGATTCTCAGTGAGTGAGGAAGAGATTAGATGACAAGGATCAGAGGGATATAGGAAGTAATTAAGATCTGAGAAGCCAAGAGGAATGAGAGACTTCAGGAGAGGAGCAGAGAGAACAAAGAGAAAAGAAAAATACAGAAGTGGTCTTTTTTTTTTTTTCTTGTCTTTTCTTTTTTTTTTCTTTCTTGGGAGAAGGATTGTGACTGTCTGTGACTGTTGCTGTATAATACTGACTGCTTTAAAAGATGTGATTGCAGCAGTTATGCTTTCTGCCCGCTTGAGTGTGGGTTATTTTGGACTGGGATGTCATGACCCCTCTCACAGCAACAACAACAAAGTAATTGTGCCAGGTGCTGAATCCTTTACATGTTTTGGTACTTCCTCCTTTGAAAAGCGTTAGATTGTTCCCCGTACTGAGGCAATGTTTTCCAAGGATAACCTGAAATTTCTGTATTTTAGTATCTCAGTTTAGGATTTTTCCTATCCTCTGCTTCTACAGTAGTGTAACAGGTAGCAATGTAACTCTGCCAGTGTCCCTAGCCAGAGGCTGGTTCTCCAGTTTAGGCATGAGCTAAGAATGGGCTGCGGGAGTACCTTAAAAAAACGTAAACCAAAACCCATCAACTGCAAAAAACCCTCAAAATAGAACCATTAGAACAAATAGTGTGCAAAACTCTTGAAGTTCCTGAACTGCTCTGATCTGCTCTGCAGCAATTAAGAAAGCTTGGAGCTGTCTCATCATTAGCTTAATGGCCATCAGGCAGGTTACAGTCTGATTTGAAAGGCTGCTGACAGAAGCACTGAAGAACAGATATTTTCCCAGTTCTTGCCTTTAGCACCTGCTCTCCCTGGGAAAGTTCAGCAACAGAGATTTTATTTTGTTTGTAGAGGAGGTTCAGAAAAGGAATCTGGATGTACTTAGTGGTGTTGCTGAGCTGGCATGGGGCTGCTGTGCCTCTAGGCTTCATTTGTTTCCCACTACTCACAGTCTTTGTTGTTTACCCACCAGACGTCCCAGCCAGCGGAATGTACTTCATGACGTACGAATGGCTGAAGAACATTCTGACCCCTGAGGGAAAGAAAAATTAGTGAAATCTCACAGTCATCATTTTTCTGGACTTCCCAGACACTGCTGATTAACCTCCCCAGTTACGAAGAGATTTAAAGCAGTATCATCAAAACCAATTTTAAAAAAAAAAAGGTCGCTCATCTTGTGAGTTGAGCTGTTTTGGTCTTGGGTTAACTGAAAATTAAAGTAGTATTCTGAGTTTCTCTCGGATTCTAGCCTTGGATCTTATTAGCCAAGTCAGGAATACTTAAAGTAGATCTCTTCACTTTCACCCCTGTGTGTGCACAAAGAGCTGGGGGTTTTTGTTGTTGGGTTTTTTTGTTGGTTTGTTTTTGTTATTTTTTTTTTCCCCCCCGAGCATTTGTGTGTGGGCTGCTGAATGAAAAAATTTGAACCTTTAGGGTGGTGTTAGTACATTTTGCCCACAGGGCTCTGATGCTTGGAAATCTTGCTCAGATACTGCACTCTGCCTGTGACTGCAGCGTTGTGCTGCCTTCTGGCCGTCAGCCAGGCTGCCTCTTTGGTTGTCACCTTAGTCAAAACAGATGAGTTTTTACTTTTTAAATTTTCTTTCTTTTTGTTTTTTTTCTTTTTCCTCCCACCCCACCCCAATCCTCCCACAGTGTGAGTGACCTCAGTGCGCCTAGGATCCTCTTTGCTGGCGGCCTGGCGGGGATCTTCAACTGGGCAGTTGCCATTCCGCCAGACGTGCTGAAATCCCGTTTCCAGACTGGTGAGTTGCATGCCAGCTTGTCATGGCCACACTCAGTGCGGTGCTCCTGGGAATGGGCTGGGCAGCGGTGGAAGATGCCATCTGAGCATGGCATCTGGGAGGTAGCATGCCTAGAGCACTGCTTGAGACAAGTACATGAAAAACCCAAGTGTGTTCCCAGCTTTTTAGTTGGTTTCCTCACAGATTTTTGGCAAATCAGGCTGCACTTCTCTGTTTCTGCCTCCCTGTTAATATAATGATCCCAATTTGAGATACCTGTTTTGAAATCTAAGTATAGAATTCATAATAATGGAACAGCTTGTCATGGCTGTTTCATTACAAATGTAATTCTTTGAGAGGTTTTGTTATTTCTCTTCAGATATAGTTGTATAAATTGTAGCCTGTACTGTCTGAAATTTATAGTAACTGGGCATGCCTTGCTGAGAGCGTTGCTTTTAGACTAGCAGATCTGCTCTTAAGTATGCGTGGCCTAGTTATAGTGAGAATGGCCACAGGCCTTGGGCTTCAGTGAAGTTTGACAGGTTTTTCATTGGTTTCTCTGGGAGTCCTAGTCAATGAATATTTTTTTAAGGTTTCTCGTATTCTCTGTCTGTGGACTCAGCTCTCCACTGGACAGTAACCATTTTTCTTGAGTCATGGATCATGATAACCTGGTGCAGGAAACTTTTTTTCTTTTTCTCTGAATAATGGTTGCTGTGGTTATTTGCTATCGTACCAAGGGCTGAGTGTGAAATACATTACAGCTTTGCATCCTTATTCCACTGAGCCAATCCCCAATGCTGCTGTATAGATGACGTGCTTTAATGGTGGTTCTCTTTAACTGGGTTGGTTTGTGGAGTACTTGTCCAGAGGGCTGGCAGAGGCAGTACTTTCCAGAGGAGTGTCAGGAGAAGGAAGAACTTGTTCTTTGAATAAATAACTTTCTAAAAACACCTCAGCAAATCTGTGTAACATCAGCATTAAAACAGCCTGTGCCTTTCACTGGAAGTTTGTTGCTATTCTTGGCTGGGGCATGTGATAAGATAATTTTCTGTTTCTGACAAACAAACTTCATCAATTTTTATATCTGACCTTCCTATTTCCTAATTGCAGCTCTTGGGAGAGCTGTGATTAGTGGTGCAAGTAACAGCTCAGACATCCAACCCTGACAAAAGTTATTCTCCTTTCTTCCCTGCCCCCCAATGACTTGATTAGGTAAATTCTTTGTGGTGATGGTGAGCATTTACCTTCTGTTTACTGAGTCTTTAGTAAGGTGTCTTTTTTGTTTGCTTGCTTTTGACTGAAACAGGTCATTTTCCCAAGCAGATGTTTTCACAACATAGCTTCAGCAACGCTTGGATTCTGGTGTCACCTAGATGGTATAGCAATATGAACCTGTTTGAAAATCCTGGGCTGTTACGTATGCCACATTCTTCAGCATTTGTGACTGCCACACATCTTAGCTAATGTGTTTTGTATCCCTTTCAGCTCCTCCAGGAAAATATCCAAATGGATTTAGAGATGTGCTGAGAGAACTTATCAGAGAGGAAGGAATTGCATCTCTGTATAAGGGCTTCACAGCTGTAATGATCAGGGCATTTCCCGCTAATGCGGTAAGTAAATTGTGGTTCCAGATGGGTTTTGGGGACCTGGCCACTTACAGTGAAAATTTGCAGTCTACAGAGGAGATGACTGGCTGCTTACTGTTGTACGATTTCAGTGAGATCCTTGTCACTGCAGGTACTTTTGGCTGTTGGTGTCCAGGTTCTAAAAATGTACCTTAATCAAGGTGGAACACCAAGTGAACCTTCCTTGGAAGCTTTGCATGAAAGCCCTTTGTTGACTCATGCTGATAGTATTTCTTGTCTGATTGTACATCCACCAGTAGCAGACAGAAACATGTGGATAAGTTTGGACTGGCTTCCCCTTCAATAAGTAATGAGCCTAACGGAGTAGAAGTTCTGCCTTTGTGTGGAGGAATATAGTAGAACTCTTGCCTCTGGTTCAAGACCTTTTTTTGTTCTCTTCCTCCTTCCACATCAGGTGTTTATAGTGCTGCATTTCAAAAACCTTGTTTGGAATAGGTTTTTAGAATTCTTATTTGTTCTGTATATTCTCTCTTTTCCAGGCATGTTTTCTTGGTTTTGAAGTTGCTATGAAGTTTCTTAACTGGATTGCACCAGGTCTATGAAGACTAGGAAGTCTTTGGAAATTAGAGAGGAGAAGGAAGAGAGTGCAAGTCTGCCTCAAAGGAATAAATGAATGATCACTTGAAGTTTCAGGAATGATTGCTTGCCTAATACCTTTTTGCCTTCCTCACATTCTTTAGGTGGTGCTATGTGCTGTTCAGAAATACAAGCTGTAGCTCTGAAGCAGAGTTGATGAGGAGTTAGAGGTGATACGCCTGTCTTCTGAGCCAATGTACCACAGCAGTAATGCTGCTAACAGACAGCTGTCACTATTACACACACTACCTTAGGTACTTCCTCATGGAAGAAAGCGACACTTCTTAAAATGTAATTCTTTATTTACTGAAGAAACATGTAGCTATTAATGCTGAAAAACTTCCTTAAAATAATTGTTTGGCAGTGTGTACTTAACTCTCAGGGCATGAGTTAGCAGCTGTACATACTAGTATCTACAAGCAATGTCAGATAGCATTCTCATCTCTTGTAGTTTTTTAGTTGTGGCTATTTCTATGTTGACAGTGGTTTTAATCTTACATGCATGTAAGATTAAATGTAGAACTGAGCAGGGGAGGCCAGAGCTGCGTTTCAGTGGGTTGAGGGGTATTGCAGATACCAGATCTGATCTTGCACACTGATCTTTTCTGTGGAACTAGGAGGAAAAATGAATTATGCTTAACATTTGTACTAAGCTTTACTCAGGCAGCCAGTGGGGAAATGTGTTTGATTCTGAACTTTTCTCTGACATCCCTTTTTGTCCCACTGAAGATATCCCAAATGCGATTTCAAAAGTACAGCATGGTTCATAGCAACCCACGATATATTTGATTCATCAAATGCTGTGTCCTGGGATTCAATCCCTGACCTGAGAAAATTTAACAGCACTTCCAAGAACTCAATTTCTCTGACACGAGGGGGATACATGAAGGGGACACTGGCTCTGCAGTCTTGTCTAACTTTATTCTTGCTCCTGTTCCTTGGTTTTCTCTTAATATCATTAAACATAATCATATTTTCATTTGAGAAATTACTAATGCTAAGAAGCAAAAAGCAACTTTAATTTCTTTTGGTTTTGATGCAGTGTTACTGGAACTCAATAAAGCTAGCTGCTGCTTGGCTAGAACGTGTGCTTTGGTTCATTTACTTTTTGCCTGGTCATGCATGGTTAGTTTTGCAAAAGTTTTCCAATTCTTAATTCTGAGATGTGATTGGGAAATAAGTTGTGCCATGCTGTCTTTAATTGTTAACCCCTTGCCTTTTAGCTTTTGGATTTTTGACATGAACCCTGGAAATGAATGTTCTGCGCTTCACATGTTTGTCATACAAGTCCTGTTGGGTGCTGTGTTGCGGCCGCAGCTTTTTAACTATAAAGCCAGACACTAAATAACACGTTGCTTCTGGAAAGCGTTTTATGTTTTCCAGGGAGAGGCTGGACACAGATAGAGGGGAGCTTAGGGAAAGCATCTGTCCTGATGCCCCACAGGAAAGGAGGCTGAGAGTTTGTCCTTGGTCTGGCGTGGTCTGTTGGCCTGTACCATAAGGACACAGTCTTCACCTTGGCTTTCCACAGGCAGGGTCAGCCCTGAAAACCTTCCACCCAAAAGTGCTGCAGAAGTCTTGAATCCCGCTTTCCTTCCCAATTCTTTGGAAGGACCAGAAGGGAATCTGCCTTCCCCAGAGCCCACCTCTTGTGTTTTACAGGGTGGCAGTGTGAAACCAATGAGGTAGCCCCTGGTGTGGGAAAATCCCAGTCGCTTGGAGCTGCCTCCACGTTCTCGCTGCTGCCTCACTCCCCGCGGACGTTCCCCATTCCTCGCTGCTTGGTGGCCTGCTGCGGCTCCTGCTTCTCAAAGTCACTGCAGCTATGGATGAAAGAAATACTTAAAGCATGAACACTGAGTTAATACTGGTTCAGAGAAGTGGTGATTAAAGGACATCATTAACTTCTCAAATGATTTTAAACACAACTCTAGGTTTACTGAGGCTAAATCCAACCTAGTTTCAAGAGGACCAGGTCTGCTTTTACAGCTCTGTGCTTCCTGACCACCAAATGCTATCCTGAACTGCTTTGGTTCCCTAGCTGCTCTGGCCACCTTTCTGACTTCTGCGCTTAGGCTGTGATGCTTAGAAGCAACTTTCAGGTTTAAGAAGTGTTATAACGCTGCATTTTTTTCCTTCCCTTTTACTTATGTGCTCCAGAAATACTGACACTTCTTGGGAGGGACAGACGTGCATCTTCTTTCTTAAAATTCCAGACACTGATGCTTAACGCTGCCTATTCCAGCCGCTCTGTCGAATAATGCATCCTATTGAGCTCCTAATCTCACAGGAAGCTAGGAAGAACTGAAGCATAATCATCCTGGTTGTAAATGCTGTTCTAGGTTGGTTTATGATGCAGTTGCCCAGCAGATGGCTGTCTGGGGCTGTCAGCAAGATGGACAAACCTGCAGGTCCAAAGGCAAGGTCAGAGGCAAGGAAGCCAGCACAGCAGCTGCTGCTGGCAGGTCACTGCGTCCGCTTGTGGCAGCTGCAGCTTTCTGAGTTGGGCTGCAAAAGTTTTACGTCTCTGTTAGGACAAACAGGCAGCTGGAAAGCAGGAGCCTCTTCTCCACATCTGGCCTGCTGAGGAAGACCGTGATCCTCCAGGCTTGGTGATGAGCTGTGCGGTGTAATTAGTGCTCCCTCCCGTCCCAATCCTGTTAGTCTGGAGTGCTGCAGTCTGCAAAAAATACTTAATTCTTGGAAACCAAATCAGGGGCTAGTAACGCCCTGGGATCGGTGGCTGGGGTTAAGAGTACAGCTCCTGCTTTAGGGCACAGAGGAGCCTTCTCTTAGTCTGTGTGCTGGTGTGCTCTTGCTCGGTGCTCCAGCAATTACCTTGGCTGTGCTGTCACCAGCTCAGGCTCGCCTGTCTGTGGCCTTAAGCAGTGTCTGCTCTGAGAGACAGAAATTCCCTACGCTCTCTAATACTTCAGTTGTTACTAGTAACTGTAAATTAGCTCCCTTCTGCCAAACTATCCTTTTTAATACTTTTTTTTTCTTTAAAGCATTTCAGATCCTTCTTCCAATTTCAATTATCCTAATTATATTCTCCCTAATCTGAGGTTTTTGCAGAGCTTTGTATTTTGCATGATAAAATTCTGGCTGTTTAACATGCTTGATTTCATTTGGTGCTTTTAGATAAGTAAAATATGGAAAAAGGAAATCAGGAATGAGGGGCTGGTTTCCAAAAACAGTGGTGGGAGGAGAGGAGCTGTGGGAAGGCCGATCAGACCGATCAGGTTTGCTTGTTTGTACAAAAACTGAAACCCTGGATATGTTTAAAAATGTCTCTCAAGATTCTGCTGTACAAAATTTGCCAAATCCTTGCCCCCGGTGTGTGCAGCCTCAGAATGAGAGAGGGATTTTAACACAGGTGCAGTTTCCCACACACTGAGGAGTCTCTTGCTTTCAGAAACCCAGATTTGCATTCAAACATTATTTTCTAATTGCTTCTTGTGGGAATCGAGGTAGCATATATACAGGTTAATGGTACACAGCAGCAGCAGGTAAGCTGGGTCTCCGTACCAGCAAAGGATATCGATGACATTTGTCTTTACGGTCCTTGCGCTGATAGTGTATGTTTTTGCTATATCAAAATCAGCATAGAGTTCCACAAAATGCTTGTGCTGTACGTCTGCCTGGCCTATCCTGCTTTGATGCAAGTGATTTTTCCAGTGGTGATTCAAGGTGCCTGGAAGTATTCCAGAAGTAATCCATGATACATAAATCTTCCGTGCTTGCATTTCAAATCTTCCGTGCTTGCATTTCTGGCCATTGTGTGCAAGTGGCTTTTGTGCACACTCAGCATTGCTATATTGACAGAAAGGTCCTTGGAATACCCCTGACAAGTCAGTCTTGATTAAATTTGACTAATTAAAGGAAGCTGCCTGTGGGAGGATTACTACAGACTCTCCAGTTTGGAAAGGATGTCGCATGGTAGATCTTACAAATGGTGAGTAATGTGAAAAGGGTGCATTTACTCATATTTCTAACAGTACAAGACATACAGTGTGTCCAGTGAGGTTATCAAGCAATATTTAAAGTAAAAATACTTTTTATATATTGTGTACAATTAAGCTATATAGGTCATTGCCACAGAATGCAAAGTGCTTTAAAAAAACATCGCAGAAGAACAGTTCATCAAGAACTACTGAAAACTGATTTGGCTGCAAAGTCTTGCACAGGAAGCTCCTGAATTGCAGGTTGATGGGAACTGGGAGAGTGTGCTGGGGAAGTCACGCCGCGTGCTTTATTCCTGTGTTCTTTCCCGAAGCATCTGCCACTGGCCGCTGTCAGGCAGAAGAATAGACAGACCTCCGATCTCATCTTTGATAGTTTGGCTGGCGTTCTTCTTACGATATGATCGGCAAAATCCTGACTAGTTCTATGGGGCCGGCACACATGAGGATGGGCTGGCCATGTACCTTCTCAACAACAAGGTACGCTAGGACACAGCACCACTTATGGCTTTGCACGTGCCCAACTGGCCTCTAACAGTTCAACTTCCCATTTTTACATTGTTCTTACTATCTGCCGCCTCTCAGGTAAGAGGACTCTTCTGTCAATAGCCTGTTTGTGCAGGTGAGGGATCGGCCTCGTGCACAGCCTGAGGAAGTGGCTTTCGCCACTATAGGGTTCACAGGATGACAGAGGAGTTGGGGTTGGAAGGCATCTCTGGAGGTGGTCCAGTCCAGCCCCCCTGCTCAAAGTAGGGTCCACCAGACAGGCTGCCCAGGACTGTGTCCAGTCGGGTTTTTAATATCTTCAAGGATAGAAGCTCCACAGCCTCTTGGGGCGACCTGCTCTGGTCCGCAAACACCTTCACAGCGAAACAAGTTCTCTCTTAAGTGGAATCACGAG